GGTAATCATAATTATGTGGGGGAAGGTATTCTTAAACCAGTTAAACGAGCGTTTTTAAGATATTAAATATTGAAAAATATATGAAATTTTAACCAAATAGAGTAGTTTGGATGCGTTAATTTTTGGCACGCTCAGGTCCAAACACGGTACAGTTACGCGCCATAACTGGTAATCCTAATTCTAGGGGGGGGTATTCTTAAACCAGTGAAACAGGCGAATTTAATATATAAAATATTCCTAAATATATGAAATTGTAACCAAATAGAGTAGTTTGGATGCGTACATTTTTGGCGCGCTCAGGTTCAGGCACGCGCCCGGTTTCTGTTGGGGTGGATGGGGGCTCCAGTCTCTGAGATTCTGTTAAACACAATTAAATAAAGATAGCAATATCAAATCTCATCAAATAACGTTTTGTCTGCATGGCAGAAAACGCAGTGGTAGATTCTCACAGTCATTTGAATGCTTTTTGTAACATACTTCAGACTCAATTTTCTGACCAAAATAGTGGCTGGGATTGACAGCTAACATTACTCTGTGACTGACTTGAGTTTAAAAGTAAACTGCTCCAGCCTCCCTGTACCTTAATCCAGAGGCGGAGAGGTTTCAGATAAGATAAGAAGACATCCAGGGTGATGATGCCCACCGTTTCCATGACGCACGAGAGCCAGCAAGACCTTATTCTCCACGTCTCCCAGTCCAGTGTTTAAAATCACGTCTGTGTGAGGATAAAGATGTTTACAAGATCATTTGAAATGGTTAAAACTTACATTTCATTGGGCAGACTCTGTGGCCAGTGGTGTAATATCTTGAGGAGCTTCAGTGGTTTTTAATGACAAATCAATAAGATTAAGATCTGGGTTTGAAAGATCCCTGATCCTCATTGAGCTGACCAGCTATTTATCCTGACTCAGACACTAGGAATCAATATCTGACGCTAACAGGAGCTTATAAAGAGCTCCAAATAAAATGGATCATTAACATAAGCAAACATGGCGTTGCTGGAGCTTTTTAGTGTTTCCCAAATTTAAGAATCTAAAGCTAAAAGGTGCCCCCCAAAAAGCTTTTATGTCCAGTTTGACTTTAGTCTGAATGTTTTAACACGGGAGAAAAACCCTCTATGCGCTCTAAAAGTATCAGGAAGGCTCAAATATCTGCGGTTTAAAAAGACAAACGAAAAACAATCGATCCATTTTTAAAACCTTAGAGGTAAGAAACGGTCTGGGAACAGGAGCCAGCAGAAAAAAACATCAATTATTTCCATCTTATATAACATCAGCACTCAAAGAAGCTCGGGAGGTTATAATTGTGACCACTTGGGGTCAGAAAAAACACCTTTTGAGCTCATTCTAAGTGCTTTCTCTGGACTTAGGGCTTGTCCACTGTCTGGTTATGATTCAGTTTATCATAGAGGACAAAATCCAGATGACTAAAGTGAGTTCTCTGTTATTTAAAATGTGGATCAGGGAATACCTGCCTGTCCTGAGGTTTGTGCTCTCCTTCCAGATGCCCGGCCCTTCGACCAGTGGGAGGAGGGAATAGTGTTTCCAAAGGTAGAGAAACGCCCCCTTTTTCCACATTCAGATCCCCATTGAGGCCCCGATCTCGTCCTCTCCTGTGGTCCAAAAAACCCAAAAGTTGGAGGGTGTTAGCAGCGATTAACTCATTGACTGCCAGCCATTTTCAGAACAGAGAGTCCCATACTGCCAGAGTTTTTTGAGCATTTTGACTGATTTTTCAAGAGCCACAGAATAGTTTGTGCTATGACTATGTAAACACCGAACACACCAAAAGAAAGAGTAGACTCTCTTCTTTCATCAGGAAAACATTTTTTGTTTCTACCTTATTCCGTTCTTCCTCGACTTGCGTCTCACCAGCGACATATTCTCTCATAGCGAACTGTTACCTTTTTCTTATTTGCCCAGGGTCTATGTTCATCTCCCATCAAAAGTGGCACTGCCCCCTAGAGGGTCAATTTGTTACTACATACTCTGTCTAGAAGCCTGATATTTACGGACAAGCTTTAGCAGATCGTCCCCCAAGCCACTCTCGTTGAAAAACATAAAAGACGTCTATAGACGTCTTTGGCAGTCAATGAGTTAAAGACGGATCAAAGCCGGAGGCTTTTTCCGGAGTAGATCCGCCTCTCTTTCGGCCTCGGGCTGTTTTTTTTTTTTTGTGTTGATTCTGAGCGAGCGTGTCTGTCCACAGGTGCGAGACGTCCAGAGTGAGGATGTGAGGGACGTGCTGTGGGGAGACCAGAACCAGGTGGGCCTCCTCTCCCATCAAACTCTGAATCTGCTGAGTCAGCGTTAGGGCTGGCAGGTTTCTGATTTGACTATTTAATACTGTTGATAAATACTCTTCAAGACAGTTTGGCTGGTCTAAATCTCCACTCTGAGGCCAGAAACGCGACCTCGGGATTAAAAACTTGTGTTTTTACTGTATGAAGAGGAGTATTTTGGCCATAATACACACTGTGAGTGACCTGACCCCATTTAGGGAAATGCTAACAAGAGGGAAGGCAGTTACTGTATTTAAATGTCTGGTTACTCACCAAAAAAGAAGAAAAAGAAAAGCAAACAAGATTTGAAGGGGAGGGTTAGTCTGTTATAGCACAAATGCAGATTTTAGGGTTTTTTGGGGGGGTTTAAAAGCAGCTTTCTGGTTCTGGGGAGTCCATTCGTGGCACACAGCAAATGAAACGTCAGATTTTATTCTTCTGAATCAGATCGAGAGCCGTTGGGTGTCTCCAACAACACAATCTGAACCAGCTTTCGGTGAGTTTGCGGAAGTTTGTGGAAGTTAAAAGCAGAAAAGGCCAAGTGGGAGGAGTTTGGACGCTTCCAGGTCTGATTTCTGCATTTTCCGAGCATCAAAGCTAAAAAAAAAAAAACCCAAACAACCTGAATAAAGACGAGGTTTCACTTTGAACACAAAGTGTAGAAACAAACCAAATCTTCTCCCCGTCTGTGGAAATGATCCCAGATTCCTGTCACTAACCTGGGCTTGTGTTCCCCCCCCAACAGGAGGAAGTCCAGAACATATTCAAGAGAGTAGGTTTGCCTCCTTTTGTCCGTCTCCTCTGATGTTCTCACTGGCAGCAGATTAACTTTAGCCCTCCTCTGTTTCAGTTCTTGTTCCATTACTCCAAAGCCCGTAACTCCATCGGAGCTGTGCAGCAACAGGTGGGTAAAGCCGCTTTTCCCTTTAAAAAAAACCCAAAACCGGGTCAAAACGCCCAGTTTGGAGTAGATTTAGTCTACTATTCCGGTTCCTGTGAAACTCAAACAGATCAAACTGTATTTTTTCTACATAAAACTGGAAGATAGCCTCTGAAATAACCCGTTTTCCTCCCTCAGTCCCACTCGGTCCACCCTCTGCTGCGGCTTTCCCCCAAACTGTCCCAGAGGAGGAAGAAGAAGGTCCTCCTTCTGGTGAGAAACTTAAAGCACGCTTTGTTTTTTTTTAAGATGAGGAAAAGGTTTACAGAGTTTCCAGCCGTGGAATTACGGCAGCTGAAAGCTAAAACTTTCTCCTTTGGAGGGTTTTGAGGCACGATCTCCCACTCGGGCCGCTTAATTTTGGAGAAACAAGCCAATATTTAAAAGAGTTTCCAACACGTTTGGGGCCGTTGGCGTTCAAAGGAAGGCTGTTAGCGGTTAGCATCTGCTCAGCTCAGGCTGGAAAAGTCCAGCCTGTGGTCAGAGGTGTTCTTTAAAGGGGAAATATTACGCAAAACCAAGTTTTTAATCATCCAATTATGTACATTTGGGACTGTGGAGGGCCTATCAGCAGGCAAAGTGTGAAAAAAAATGACTCAGTCATGTTTTTGTGGGCCGCCTCAGTCTGAATCCAGGAGATAAATCAGGAGGTTTCGGGAGTGGGTAGTTTCTGACGTCATTAGCTCTAGCTCATTATAATATTCCAGCCTTTCACCTGCATGTTGCCCCCCCCCTCAGCTTACTCCCCTATCTGTGGAGACGTCCTGGTAGCGTGAGCGTTAGCATGGTAGCGCTAGCATGGTAGCGTTAGCATGGCAGCGTTAGCGTGCCGACGTGGGCACACCTCCTGTTGTTTTGGGTTAGGGTTAGAGTTAGGGTTAGGGTTAGGCAGGGGGACTGAACTGCTATTGGGCTTCATCCTTATGGGATTTTGACCAAAGTTGGTCACAGACATTACATTAGGACACCAGGGAACTAGCTTAACTTGTTGAAATAGGGTATAATATGTCTCCTTTAAGCCCGGTGTCTGCCTCCTCCCTCTCATCGAATGTTTAACCTTTTTAGGAAAAGCAGCCGTAATGCATCAGGCCGCTCCGGTTTCGATTAGCTGCTCTCTGACTTCCGCTCTCGCCTCTGTCTCCCGCTAATTAAACAGAAGATCAGAGGCCTGCCGGAGGGGATGCTGTAAAGGGAAAAACCCACAAAAAACAGAGGAATGGAGTCACCCCCCCGGCTGGAAACGAGCCTCCGCCCAAACGCTCCCAGCTGGACCTGGACGGGATCTTTTCGGGATCTGGACGGCCGCCCGAAACCCCGACGGCACCCGAACGCACCACATCGAGTCTTTAGCCCAGTGTTTTTCAACCTTTTTTGAGCCAAAGGTACATTTTTTCATTGAAAAAAATCACGAGGCACACCACCAACCAAAAATGTCAAACAAATCTGTAGCCGCCTATAGTAACACTTTAGTTATTCTTATTTTATTATCTTATCGGAAGTGTGTTGAATAGGAATCAAATAAACAAAAATGTATTTTTATCATATTTTATATTTCTTCTTTCAAATTGCACTTAACATGTCCACTTCAATATGCAAAATTATATACAAAATCTAGTCATAAGGAATTATTACGTGATTACTCCACCAGTCACTAGAACAGCACAGACACTCAAAAATGGCATATTATTTGCAGATAATTAATTCCTTATCAAAAAGTATTTTTAGACCAATGAGGTGAAATAGGATGATTTTCTACGGCACACCTGACCATCACTAAGGCACAGTGGTTGAAAAACACTGCTTTAGCCGACTTCCCCGAACAGAAAAAAATCCGAAAAGGGAGCTTTTTGTCGTGGCACCTTTAATCAAAGCAGACTTTACAGCACCTGTACATTCTGTGACATAATGACCATGTGACGTAATAAAAAAAAAAGTAAATGTTTGTCTTTGATGGTTTTGGAAGGAGACGGTTTGGTGTTTTTAATCGATAAAAGGACGAGAGTCTGGCTGTCCGGCCGCTTTGCTGTGAGGCGGCCATTAGAGGTTTGGGGGGGTTTGTGGGGGGGGGTGATATGTGTTATTCCCTTCCCTGAGGCCTCCAGCTGCCCTTTGGCTCCGCCCACCAGCTCAGACGGTTTTTAAAAGGTGGGAGCGGGTTGATGGGGGGTCTCTGGTCCCGGTCCCGGTTAGTCGTCCTCGTCCTCGGAGCCGCCCCCCCCCCGCGCCGGCAGCGAGCCCCTGATGGACGACATCAGCTTGTCCTCGATCTGCTTCCGGGGGTTTTCCTCCAGGTCGGTCTTCACCGCCCCGCTCTCCGACAGCCGCCACTCCAGCTCTGGAGGGGTCAGATATCAAAATATTGTAGGAGAAAATCCAGATCCAGACTCCAAAAATCCAGTTTTTTGTTTTAAAGTCAGATCCCGCATTAGCATTAGCATCTGTAACCCACAGGTCTGTGTCCTAACCATTAAGTTGTTATCAGAGTAAATCTCTGGTTAACATCGGAAGTGAAGGCCGGATCGGGACATCCCTAATATCTGATTTATCCTAAATAAATTCTTATTAGAATGTTTGTTTTGGATAAATCAGATAGTTTTGACCTAAAACTACTAAAAGAGTTCCACATCTAATTTCACACGAGCATTAGCATCTCCTAACCCACAGGTCTGTGTCCTAACCATTAAGTTGTTATCAGAGTAAATCCTGGTTCAACATGAGTCTGACAACTAAGTAAGTAGATAAATAACTTTAGACTTTAACACATGCTCTGATAGGCCGGGATCGGGACATCCCTAATATCTGATTTATCCAAAACAAATTCTTATTAGGATGTTTGTTTTGGATAAATCAGATAGTTTTGACCTAAAACTACTAAAAAAGTTCCTCAGCTAATTTCACACTAAGTCTGAATCTGCACACAACCATTAAGTCGCTTCTCAACCAGAGTTTTTAAGTCGTTTTCTCTCAATTTACAGTTATGTGAAAATGAAAATAATAACAATATATGTAGATTTTTCAGGGTCTTTGGTTGCTGCTTTCTGCAGAATATGGATCAGGTCTCATTTCAATGAGATGCTTTACAGACCTGTTTGAATCAGTGTATGACTCGTTTGCCTTTTTGGATGACAAATAATGTATTTATCTACGTTTATTTAGATCCAAACTAACCACCATGACCCAAAATCAAGGGTTTTCCTGCTTCTTTGCACCAGTTCAGGAAACCACAGCCATGTTGGGAAACTCTGATCCACTCAGAGGCTTTAGGTCAAAGCCCTAAAGGTCTGAAAGTGTTTTTAAGACATTCAGCCAACACTCACCTTCAACTTTGAGGTTCATGCCCCCGAACACCAGCGGGCCGATGAACTGGGCCTTCATCTCCCCCTCGAAGTACACGAAGATGGTGGGCAGGTTGCGGTCGGGGTAGTTGGCGATGCAGGTGGTGGAGATGGACTTGAGGAACTTGGTCTGGGGGAACTTCCTGGCCAGCGAGCCGAGGTGCTGGTTGATGAGGGTGCACAGAGGGATGCTGATGCAGAAACAGAGTCAGATAAAAAATAGAGCTGTTTAAAACCAAATCCAAGCAGGAAAACACTAAATCAACCACACATTAAGGACGTCCCGATCCAGCTTTTTTCCCTTCTGATCCGATCTCGATCCCGGCCTATCAGAGCATGTGTTAAAGTTTAAAGTTATTTATCTACTTACTTAGTTGTCAGACTCATGTTGAACAGGGATTTACTCTGATAACAACTTAATGGTTAGGACACAGAACTGTGGGTTAGCAGATGCTAATGCTAATGCTCGTATGGGATCGGACTTTTAAAAAAAACTGGATCTGGAGTCTGGATCTGCATTTTCTCCTGCTGGCCGATACACAGTTTTTTTTGCAAATATCGGCTGCCGATCTGAAGGACGTTCTTTCGATAGTTTAAGTAAAAATCTACATGTAATATTATTATTTTAATTGTCACATAACTGTAAATTGAGAGAGAAAACGACTTAAAAACTCTGGTTGAGAGGCGACTTAATGGTTGTGTGCAGATTCAGACTTAGTGTGAAATTAGATGAGGAACTTTTTTAGTCGTTTTAGATCAAAACTGTCTGATTTATCCAAAACAAACGTTCTAATAAGAATTTGCTTTGGATAAATCAGATAGTTGATTCCAGTACGGCATATTAGGGATATTACCGACTTAAAATAAAACTGGATCTGGAGTCTGGATCTGCATTTTCTGCTACCCGCCAATACACGTTTTTTGCAAATAGCCTACCACACATAGACGGTCTTAATAAAAAGCGACTGGTCGTTTATCCACTCTGGGACCAAACCAGCGACCAAATCAAAAATGTCAATGTTTAATGGTTTTCTTTTTGGTAAAGTATGAAATGACTGTACAAGAACGTCTTATTAAGAATTCTAAGTTTTGGGTTTATAAGGCTGAATTTGTGTTATTGACAATGTTATGAAATGTGAGCAAGTGGGGGTGTTGAGCTGTGCTCTCGTTATAGTTTATGTTTATTGTTAATCGTTTCTGTGGTAAAGATGACTTCACACTTACATGCTCACGTGACGAGATAATCAATGTGTGGTAATAAATGAGTGTGCCCGTGAGTGAAAGGTGGTCACGCGAAAAGCAATTTCAGACTGAGTGTGTCTTAAATGGCTACACGAAAAGCTGCGTAAGAGACTCTGCTAACAGCGTGACTCACTTTGGTTCTTTTGACTAAAAAGACCCCCCCGGATTTACTCACAAGTGGGCACCGCTTATGACATACATAAAATCTCTGCCTTTATAATGTATAGATAGATGTGATTGACCCTTCATGTCATGTGACTTAAATTTACAGAATAATTGAGTGAAGAGTTGTTGCCTTTTAGCTTCTCAATTCCGTCCAACCCCCCCCCCTCCAATCCACCCCTATTTTTTATTTGTTTTATTTATTTATTTTTGTTTAAATTAATTTATTTATTTTTTGGTTGTTAATGTATTCTTTTTATTTTTTCAATTGTAATTATACTTATTTGGTCCTGTTTTTGTTATGTTAATACAGGGATTTATGTTCGCTACGGGGAAAGGGAAGGGAAGAGGGAAAGAAGGGGGAAAGGGGAGAAGAAAGAGGGAAGGGGAAAAAAAAAAAAAACTGTAAAAAAGAAAAAAAAAAATCAGAGTAGTCACGTAAGCTTTGTACAATGTATGTAACATCAATATATGTGTGATCTCCTGATGAGCAAATAAATAATACACAGTAAAAAAAATAAAATAAAATAAAAAAGAACGTTACCCGGGCTTGTAGAGGTGCAGCACCACCCAGATGCCTTCCCCGGCCTTGTTGACCTCCTGGATGTAGTCCTGCCCGGAGATTTCCGTCATCTCCCCGAACACGTTCTTCATCTGGGTCGCCTTCCACTCGGCCAAACGTTTCTGTCTGGTGGGGGGGAGACACAGCTCAGGGAAAAGATGGCACACATCAGCTCAGCCCACAGATGCTGGCACCTTTGTTCCTCCCTGCCTCCGCTCACCTGTACATCTCGATGGCCGCCTCGTCGTCCTCGCTGAACTCGTCTTCGTTCTCCTCCAGCTCCTCCAGAGTCATGCTCTCGTAGGTCTTAACTTTAAAAATGTATTTCAGAAGAACAACAGAATTAGTATCTGCGATCCTGCAAAGAACCCAGCAGTTTTTTTGGCCCAACAGGCTCAAAACTAACTAATCCAAAGCGGCAGTAGATCATCTTTTTTGCTCTTACCAACAGACTGCTGCTGGAGGGTCACGTCCTCCTCTTCCTCCTCTTTGGGAATCTCTTTGGGAGGAAGAATCCCTTTTTTCCTGAGGATGTCATTCCACTCTGTGTCTTCGTTTGGGTCCTTGGAAGAACACGAAGCATCAATAAATTATATATTTATGTCATATTTGGACGAAATACTGGAATTTCCAGCCTACTGATTCGGATCTAAATTAACATCTGATTTATTCGTTTAATAGAAAAACATAATCCCAAAAGAGGAAATCAGACAGCTGACACGTCCGGATGCTACGTTGCTAACTCAGTTACTAACTTTGGCTAAAAATGTCAGTAAAAAATTAACACAGTACACTGCCTCAATGGTCAATGTGAAACAAAGGTTTTGAAGACTCAAAAAGGTTGTACCAACCTGCATTTTGGCAAAGTTAACTCCCTGGAAATCACACCGCCGTGCTCCTCCCAGACACGGAACCAGAAGGACCCGACGAGAGCGATTCCGGCAGAAACTAGGAACCACGCGGCCGGTTCAAACAAGTATCCGCTAATTTTACAGCTAAAACATTATAATTCTAACCAAATAAACATTTTTACTACGACGTAGATGTATGTTCTTATTTTTGTACGGCTCGAAATGGACCAGAACAACCGATAAAGAGTAGGAACTAACGTTTCACAGGTACGACAATAATAAAGGTGACACCAGTACTCAGTATGACCATATAAGGAGTCCCAGCGCAGGACTCCGTTTGTG